TTTTCTCGGATTAGTTTCGGTTGTTCTTGAACATTATTTTGAAGTTATGATTATTACATTTGTGGGGATGGTTCCATTAATTTTTTTTTTGTTTCTTTGTTTGCAATTTCTTTATTTGACTCATTTGTCAGTTTTATCTTTTTCGTCTTCTGTCATCTTTTATTTTGAGTAGCTTTACTGTCTTCTATTTGATTTTATATTTTACCTTCTCCCCTATTGATATTTGATGTATTTTGTCCAGTGGCATTTTTATTTCTATCTTTATTCAGATTCCTTAATTTATTCTTCTTTTTGACACTTTCTTGGAAATTTCCATTTCTATTTCTTGTTCTTCGTTCAGTTTTTGCCATTATTCAGTGTATCAACTTTTATTTTAGTTACATCTCATACTTTTTCATTCTAATATTTACTAATTGTAATTCATTATTCAGTTCAGTTTTAAAATTTCACTCACGATTTGCATGCTTTGGAATTGTCAAAAGTTTTATCATTAATATTAATGATGATACCTATTCGATAATTTTGATCAATTTTTCATTGGTTTTCCAAATGTTTCTCTCTTTATTAAATATATGCGACTGGTAACTGTGTAATTCCATCTAGGTTAGGCTATTTTCCATTGATCATTATTAGGGGTGTTGAATCGCCATTTAGAATGTCTCCTAATCCTGCAATTTCCTATTAGTTGGAGTATTTGTATTTCTTTAAGACATGGTCTATTAGGAATCCCTTTAGTGAATCTTATTGGAATCTTTTCCAATCAATCCGCGGGTTCCAACTACAACAGAGATTGTTGATGTTCTCAAGTACCCCATTTTTGAGATTTCGATTTCAAGGTCCTTGTATTTTGTTAGCTTTTTGAAGATACGCTACAGTCTGTGGGGACGGCCATATCCATAAGGATGCATATATTTTTGTATGCTGTTTCTAATAACGAAGTCAGGGCGATTAGCTTTTATTGTTCTGTCTGTGTGTCTTGAGTAGTCCCATAAAATTGTTACTGGTCCTATCTCCGTAACCAGGTCTGTGTAGTGTTCAAACAAATTTCTTTCAGTTTCCTTTTATTATTATTATTATTATTATTATTATTATTATTATTATTATTTTCTTTGATTTCTGGCGTTTACACATTTCTTTCCGGGTCCCGCTCAGGGACCTAAGGTTAGAAATGGCGTCATGACACTTTCCACTGACAAAAAAAAAAAAAAAGAATTAAATTACATAGATAAAGCCCTTCGTAAGGTGTGGGCTGTACTTGTCATAACAATTTTTGTATCTCCTTGAGGCATGGACTTCCGGCAATCCCTTCAATTAGTCTACTGCAATCTTTTTCAACCAGTCCTAGGGCTCCAACTACAACAGGGATTTTTGATGTTCCCATATGCCACATTTTCGAGATTTCTATTTCAAGGTCCTTGTACTTTGACAACATTTGAATATCTTCAAAGATACATTGCAGTCAGCAGGGACTGCCATATCAATAAGGAGGCATCGTTTTTGTTGGTGGTCTTTAATAACAATATCTGGCCGGTTGGCCTTGATTGTTCTGTCAGTGTGTATTGTGTAGTCCCATAGAATTGTAACAGGTCCTATCTCCGTAACCGGGTCTGGGTGGTGTTCATACCAGTTTCTTTCAGTTTCCTTCCCGTAGAAGTTGCAGATTTTCCTGTGCAGATATTGGCCCACTCTGTCATGTCGGGTTTTATATTCAGTGGGTGCCAACACCGTACAACCTGATACAAGATGATCAATCGTTTCTGGATATTTATCACAGAATCTGCATTTTGGGCTGACACAATATTTTAGTATATGTGCTTGATAATTCCTAGTAAGCAAGCATTGGTCCTGCGCAGCAAGGATAAAACCTTCAGTTTCCGCTTTCAACTCTGCACTACGTAGCCACTGATGGGTACGGGTTTTGTCTACGTCAGCTTGTTTGGTACGGGCAGAGTATTGGCCATGAAGCTGTTTATCTTGCCATCGCTTCTGTATCTGGTCGGTTGCATTCGTCTTTGCTGTCTTTTTTTAGGTATTTTGCAGTTTCAGTCGGTGTATTGTGCTGTAGTTGCATCTCTACGCCCACTTGAAACTCCATTTTGAATTTGTTGGCTTCTTTCACTACGGAGTAAAGACGCTTACTACTTTCATGTTCCTTGACGCATACCATCATCCAGTCTTCTGTAGTTTCCAAATATCTTTGGAGGCCAATTATTGTAGTTTTGTAGGACAGTTCTAGTTGAACTAATCCCCTGCCTCCTTCAGATCTGGGCACATACAGACGATCGACGATTGGGATGATGCATGCGGTAGCAAGTGAGAAGCTTTGATGCGTGCGGTAGCAAGTGAGATTATTATTATTATTATTATTATTATTATTATTATTATTATTATTATTATTATTTCCTTTGATTTCTGATGTGTACTCATTTATTTCCGGGTCGTGCTCAGGGACCTAAGGTTAGAAATGGCATCATGACGTTTACCACCGCAAAAAAAAAAATTACATGGACAAAGCCCTTTGTAAGGTGTGGGCTATACTCATGAGAACAATTTGTTTTGTATTTCTTTAAGGCATGGGCTTCCATGGATCCATTTAGTCAACTGGAATCTTTTTCCAACCAATCCGAAGGATCCAACTACAACGGGGATTGTTGATGTTCCCATGTGCCACATTTATTTTTGATTTTCATTATTATTATTATTATTATTATTATTATTATCATTATTATTCCGTAAGTATTCCTAGGTTGATATCACATGGTTACAAGCATCATGAATTCTCTTGAACCTCTCTGTATTTTGTCTGAATCATCATCATTTTTCAACAGATATATAGTTTTTCAACTGTTTTGAAAAGAGTCATTTTGAATGCTTGTAAATTCTCTATTATTATACGATCGAACGTCGCTTTCATATTCCATAATTTTTGCCGATTTCCCCAAGGTCTTAATAGTTATCAATTTTCTTAGCTGTTCTTGGGAGTGAGATCAAAAGGCAATCAATCTCTAGATTTTTCTTTCATTCTTTACAATAACAAGATTACAACATCTGAGATGGTTAGCGTGATCAGTCTGAATCTACGAATCCCAAATTATTTCTTTTCAAAGAAAACATTTGCTTTGTATTGATACCATTTGTTCGTTAAGTCGTTGGCATGATTCTCTGGGAATCACCTCTCAGCACAATTGCGTCCCGTGTCTTGCTTCAGTTTGGGCTGCAATCAAAGACGGATTGCGGCCAATTCTTTGCCATACATACAGTCCAACAATTGTGTCTCTCATGATAACAACTCGGTCTTGAGATAAATCTTTTCATTTTGTAAAAGATTTTATTTCTATAGTTAAAATATCTTCTCCAATCTGATGAAAATATAAATTAATTTAATTGATTCCAAAATAAAGCATCTGTCTTTGTAATTCAACAATACAAATCCAGTTAAATAGAAGTATTTCCTTTAGATTGAAAAATTCTGATCGAGTGATGTTAAAATCAGTGACAATTTGTATATTCAGGAACGTTCTTGAATGCGTATAAATTAAAGTTGTATAGGCGAAGCGTTTCTTTATTTATATTGTGAGACCGGAAACTACCTACACAATAGACTCTTCCAGGCCTATATTAAGTAGGCGACATAGCACTCTAGAGAGTGACATACACAGAGAGACAGAGAGTCAGTGACAGCCGCGTACGACTACCAGTATTGGACACTAACATATAGTAAGCTCCGCTTACACTCTCTGTAACCTGTTGTTAATTTATCTTTCTTACATCTAATTCGTGTTCCGTGTTTTCATTCTGTGGTCCCAACTTTGGCCCCACATCAATTTATTACAATAAAAATAAAAAGAGAGACCTTTTTCTGGCAAAATGTAATACTTTCAGATGAAAACATCTCGTATAGTCCTCTTTTTTAGTTGCTATTCCTAAAGAATTTTTATATAGTCTGAGCATGGAATATTTGAAGCAGGTATAAATTCCGGTTTTATCCAATTTACTACCACTGGAAATGTTATTCTATTAGGATGTTCGGGAAATACTCACTTTTTATTCCTGAATTAATATATTTAATCAATGTTTAAATCAGTCAACTCATGAACCCTTAACATCTGTATATTTCTGGCATCGAGTTGCCAGTTTAATTATGCACCAAGACAATTTTGAATGAATTTTCCGTATCTGCTTTGCTAGAAAATGTCTTTGTCTTTTGGCTTTAAAAATTGCTTGAAAGAATGCTAAGCTATGTACGTGAGATCACGAGAATATAGTGATTGTGGCAATACCTCGTATCCTAAGTCAGTGAGATTATCTAGTGTTATTTTGGCAACGTCTGGCCGAGATTTATCATGATGCAGAATTTGATCTGGTCGATTAACTAGTTAACCGGTCGCATTTTGTCGAATGTGCATTTCATCCAGTTACTTTCAGGAAACTTCTGCTGTGATGCTCTGGTTAGACTCCAGAAAACTGTAATGGATAACACCAATGGCGAACAACAAAACAGACAGTTATTTTCATAATATGAATCTAATGAAATGATCTTGGATTTAAAACTGACCCTGTGATTCCGACTGCAGTTGGACTTGATTTATATCACGAATACGACTACGACTACGGTAGATTTATTGGTGAATAAAACTGGAATAGCTTTACCGTTATCGCCTGTTAAAATCGATATCAGTAATTCTATTCTGTTCTTAGTACGCTTTCTCTGTCTGTTACCAGGAAGAATATTGTCTTTATAGTTTCGTCTTCTATCAGTGATTCCTGTTTTTGCAAACAATTTACAAGGTTCTATGGTTTTCAAAGGTTCTAATAACCATGTATATAAATTTCAAAATCAGCATTTGACATTTCTTGCGAGTTCTTGATATTTGTCTATTATTTGTTTCCTTCAGTTTCAAACCTTTTAAAAAGATAAATCCACAATTGGACGAATTTATTCCCGCCCTTCAGAATCACTCAATGTTGTTTCCTGGAATTATTGACCTGTTTATGTATAAATGCTATATGTTAGTACGTTTTTACGCCTGAATGTATTATTATTAATAATAATATTATGTTGTTGTTGTGGTGGCCATGATGGTTATGATGATGGTGATAATGGGGCTGGTGGCGGTGATGGTGAGATTTTTGATAATGGTTATGGTGGTGGTAGTAGTGAGTGTTATGTTTGTTATGGTGGTGGGGATATTGGCGATAATGGTTATGGTGGTGTTGGTAGTGGTGGTAGTTATGATGGTGGCGGTAATGATTATGGTGGTGGTTGCGTTAGAGGTGAGTTTTATGGTGGCGTTGGTGGTTGTGATGATGATGTTGGTTATGGTGGTAGTGGTGGTGACAATGGCTGTGGTGGTGATATTGGTGTTAATGGTTATTGTCTTGTTGGTGGTGGCAGTGATGGCTGTGTTGGTGATGGTTCTGATGGTGGTTGTGGTGATATTGGTAATAATGTTTATGGTGGTGTTGGTGATGACTATGATGGTGGTGGTAATGTTGATGGCTATGATGGTGATGAAGGTGGTGGTGATATTGGTGATAATGGTTATAGTGATGTTGGTGGTGTTGATGGTTATGATGGTGGTGGTGGTGGTAATATTGGTGATAATGGTTATAGTGATGTTGGTGGTGTTGATGGTTATGATGGTGGTGATATTGGTGATAATGTTTATGGTGGTGTTGGTAGTGGTGATGTTCATGATGGTGGTGATGGTTATGGTGGTGGTGATAGTGCTGATGATGATTGTGGGGGTGGCAGTGCTGTTTTTGTTATTATCATTCCTTCTTTCATAAACATATGCTCATTTTTTTATTAGGAAAATTATTTTAGTGACTTTGCATAAGTTTTCTGAACAATACAAATCTCTGAATAAATGTATCACATCTGACATCACTTTTTTAAACCTGAAATGGAAGGAACTTTTCTCGTGGCTTGCAGGTGTTCTGTTTTTTTTTTTCTTTTTTATTATAACTTTTTACTTATTTATGATCGATTCTTTTTTGTGCTTATACAATTGTCCTGGATGGACAAAACCCAGTCGCTAGCTGAACTTCCACAATATCGCCTTTCCTACTCACTTTTTTCATCTTTTCTCCTGAAAAGTTTGGCTAAAGTGCTATTTATTAGTCTGGACCTTACATTCCGCCATTTATACTATCAATTTCTATGTTGTCTACTTTCAAGCACATTTGCTTTTGTTTTATGTTATCTGTTAAATAAGTTAAGTTAAATGTCCTTTTCACAGTCATTTATTTGTTATTTAATTTGCATCCGCTATGGATTTGTATTCTTGCTCTTTTTGGCTTCTTGTGTCTTACTTCCTGCTTCGTGAATTGAGTTAATTTTTCTGAGGTTTCTGATATAGTATATTTTGCTGTTTTCTTCTTGCGTGTTCAATCTTCTTTTGATAGCCTAGTAAATATATTTTTCATTGCTGTCGAATATGTTTCTTCTATTTATAGAAAAATTAATTTAGATTCTTGGTCAGAGATCCAATGTATCGATTTTTTCGTCCTTCAAGTATGGATAAAATATTGATTTTTACAGAATTTATTTATTTATTTATTTTCATTGTGGCTATGCAAGGCACAAGGAAATTGAACAGCAGTCCTCAGATGCAGCAAAACACGCATACACACTCGCACACATTCCACACAACACGCACAATACAAAAAACAAACGAATAACGAATTACAAAAAGTAATATTGTTTAAATGACGTTGAAAATTTTCAGCGAGTGGCAGCGTTGATTTTGCGCAGGGTCCAAGGATAAAATATGTTGATGACTTTTATTCTATTTCTACTTTATTGTACCATTTCTAAAATCCTCTTATTCTTCCAAAGATATTAACTGTTTACTTTTTATTCCAGCAACAAATGTATTACAGAATTAATGTGAGGTTCAGAATTACTTTAAGAAAATGAATGAAGGATAACATATGTAAATTAAATGTTTGTTAACGTTCGATTTCAGAGATACCATCTTTGGACGAATATGTCGTCTCACCCAACCGATTATATTTTTATTTTCACGTGGAAGCCAAAAAAAATCTAAAATGAATATATTAACCTTTCCTAAACAAAGTTGCATCTCGTATATTATGAATAACATCAACTGATAACAACAATTCCTAGAATAACTATGCGATTGGATGATACTGTCATGGCACCAATCATTTAGCTGATTTTAAAATCTAATTTTTTCTGGACATTTTTATTCAAGAGCACAACAATTATTAAAATATTGAAGTAATAATATTCACTTTTTATTAAGATTTTTATAACATGTCATATCGAAGTCGATTGTATTTATAGCATTTATAAGTGAAGCCTGTTCCTTGACGCCTTAGGATTTTTTTTTCTAATTCATAATTCTATTATTTCACTGTATAAAATAAAAAAGAAATTTAATCAGCAAAATGAATGGCCTACGAACACCAAAAAAGACTCAGCTATTACAAAAACATGATTAACCTACCAAAAATAATTTCTTCAATCTTCACATTATTTTACAAAGATTTAATCTACAAACATTATCCTCAATAATCGTTACAAATATTATAAACGAGCAAATACACGTAGCCATTCGTAGAATCAATAACTAAAAAAGTCTTTGAGCGAATAAATACTGAGGGTCTTGCAAAGATCACTTTGATTTGTGGAGTAGCGATGCAGAATCATAAACAAAGAGCTCTACTAAATAACAGAAACCACATCACTTGGGGACGATTAACAGCCTCAGCAACTTCTACAATACATCAAATAGAAGGTTCGAGAGGAAATCCCTAACAATACTGGATAGAGCGATAAAAGTTACTAGTCTAGAGAAACATCATTTCTTTAAAAAAGTATTTTAAGAGAAATATTTTATAAATGTCAACCGAAAGCAATACTAATAGCTAGGTCAATAGATGCAAAAAAGTTTGTTTTTTTAATGTGGAAACCGCTAATACTACAATTATCATTAGAATAAACAATACTAGACATTTAAGTAATCTCATATAAACAAAAATATCATCATTTTCTCATTTTTCTCCAAGATTCATCTTAATTACAATGAAGATGAAAAAAAATCATAAAAATATAATTCTCCAGCATATATTATTTAGTCATTACAATAAACATCTACGATTTATCATTTATTATAACAAAAATTTGAAAATATTAACTAATCGTTGCTAACATCCCTAAACCATTACCCGTCTCTATGTAATATATATATAACTTTTAAAACCATTTATTTTACATTCAACATCATCACTTGATAAGACACTGAGAGTGTTGAAACAAAATGGCTATTTTTGTAGTGATAAATAATTATATATATATATATATATATATATATATATATATATATATATTTATATATATAAGATTTGTTTTTTTTTGTATGAATGAAACATGAATTTATAAATTATATTTGCACATTTTAATTGAAATTAAAATAACTGATCCAACGTGCAACTCTCGGATAATAAGTGTGATATTACTGCAATTATTGAACAATATAGTTCATGCCATATTCACGGAAAATCTACCAGTAAAAAAAAAATCTCTTATTGCTATATTTGTACAAAAACGCACAACCTTAAAATTTAAATTCAAACTCAGCGTTGCGACCGCACGTTCCAAAACAATAACACATTTCTCATAGCATTTTTTCGGATTGCATCTCTATTTCGTTGTCCTCTCATTACTAATAAGTAAAAACAAGAACAAAATCTACTTCCATACCTGAGGATGTCTGTAGGAACAGACGAAAGCTTGGAAAAAATTAAAAAGAAACCTTATGCAACTGGCATTTATATACAGGGATCATATCATTCATATACAGGTTCGGGGTTAGTGTATCTTTTTTATGTGTTTGCGACGATGTATTCTCACCATTTAAATCATTTACCTCTATATTTGTTTTTTGTATAAATGATTCATGAATTTATACATGAAGAAATATAGTTTTACGGTTTGCTCTATTTATGGGATAAAGTGTTCAATATCAGAGATAGAGCGTATGTAAATATAAATATAAAAGTGAACACTGAAGTCAATACCCAGAGTCGACAGGCTGTTTCATGCTAGACGCAATCGTCAGGTGGCCTGACAATTGCGTCCAGCATGAAACACAACCACGTATTCTATGGTAGGTTAACATGTTATTTATCGTGACGAGTGTCATACCGATGGGCATTTGACAAACAAGCAAGTCGCAACCATTAACACATGATGGAGAATAGTAGATAATACGAAACTACGCTATAGCCCACACTGTAAAGTAGGTTCGATATATTTGATGCTGTTATAATTCAAAGGAAACAATAAGCGTTTAATAGTTTTCACAACAGAGAAGCTCACATATAAGATACAAAATTCAAGAACACACGTATAGAGTGCTAGAAATGGGTAAAAATATTCAAAATTGATAGTTGTACGAATATTTTTGTCGTTGACTGTATGTAAATTAAAAACTTAACATTCTAAAGAATACGAGGAAACAGTTTACATCTCATGTCTACGATGCTGACAACATTTGGTTCCTGATAATATTAGAAGAGAGTCAAATGTCTTTGGAAAAATAAAATAAATAAGGGAACCGTGAGCAAGTTCTCCGCAACTTTCAACCGAGTAAAAAATTATTCGATGTAAAAAAAAAACAATAAATATTTAAAAGACAGACGTTGTCCGTTCAATTTAATTCAAATCCCATAATATATGGGCTATTTGGCCTTGCATGAAATGTGGTCGAGGAGAAGGAACACTGAATTCAAAACAGTTTGACACCGAAGCACTGTGAAGGGCGAGAAAATCATTATTTAGCTTGGTGTTTTAAATCTGCATTCATTTCACCGATCCTCAGCATAGACTTAAATTTTTCGGCTCGATGCTGGGAGGTATAGAGAGAGGGTAGGTATGGATGTATCCAAACATTTTCCCTTTTTCTAATCGTTTCATCCACAAGTAGGTCGATAACTCAACTAAGACGCAATATGTTACTGGAAATGAAAGAAAATGAGAAGACGTTAGTTACTAAAAGGAGATAATCGAAAAGAAAGTAGTATGTAAGGAGTGACGTTGCATTTATATTTTTGAAGATAGTAGAATGCAGCGAAGCAAGATACTGAAAAGAGTTCTACAGACGGGAAGGAAGAGATAAGAAAATATTACAATAGAATTAACGCTTATATCTAGCGATTTGATTATTGTATTTTTAAATCCTTTCCCGCCAAGCAAGATGAAAATGAGAGAAAAGACTGACTATATGGAGAATTGGGAAAAAGACAAAAGGTGAACAGGATGCAAAAAGATAGATGTCGACTGACGTTTTATTTAAATTGTTGCAGATTGTAACTATCAGGGAAACAAGTAAACGGAAGTGTTCCCCCCACCCGGGAAGTGTGAGAAAAGAAATTGTTTGAATGGAAGGGACGGTTGCATTTAGCCATTTCAACAGTAAACGGGCGGGACCTAGATGCCAGTATAGCAACAAGCTTAAATTGATTGTAGTCGGAACACCAGGGAAATAAAGCTCGTCACAGCAGTCGCTATGAAAATATTTGTAGAAAAGACAGAGGGAAGCCACACTACGTCGGTGAGAATGTGACTGAAGTCGAGATGACAAGTCAGGATCGATTATATTACACATCTTTGGATTTTGTGAAGAACTTCGAAATGATTAGTAGATATGGCGTCAGTATTCAATGCACGGCTGAATGGTAGATTTGTATATGTGCAAAATGGACTCTCAACTGTTATGGTGAAAACTATTTTTCACTCTAGTGCAGTAATATATAATGAACGGACGAATGGTAGATTTATAAT